ATTACTACAGAAACCTTAGAAATCATCAGTTACATCAAAAAATTCTACGCTTCCAACAGAGGATTATCTAAAAACAGTCCAGACTGCTTCTGCATAAGACTCCAGATCAATTAGGAAATAGATGTTAATTCCTCTACTAGAAAATGAGAAAAAAAAACAAGGATTTTAACCTCTACTAGTTTTCTTTGCAGTCTGTTTTCACTGCTCATTCTCTCAGGCATTCGAGATCTATTATAGTTTATTCGAAGTTAAATTGTAAAACTCCCCCCCACAAGGACATGTGACTCCTGTCAGAAACGTAACACGTTTACATTTTTAACCCTCCCCCCACCAGCAGCACAAACTGGAAGATCTGCGCCTCCTCACCTTCAGGCCAGGTTTTTGGGGGTCCGTTGGGGGGCTGTCCCTGCATACCTGGAGGGACACCCGTGGGCCCTGGAGGAAGCATGTTCGGACCCCCCATACCTGCTGGAAGCACACGAGTGGATTTGTGTTCAAAGACTGCTCTGTGTCGTACCTTCTCACTGATTCAATAACCCGAGCCCACAAAACAGCCAGTTAAGAGTCAGGACCCAGCAGAGGTTAATTCCACGCTGCACAGTACAAGAAAAACATTCAGCCTATTTCAGGTAGGAGGGAGCTAGAGAGGAGAGGAAGGGAGCAGGGATATAAAGTACAGGGGAACAGAGGACAGAGCAGGAGAGAAAGAGTGTCCAAATAAAAGGAGATCTGAAATCTGTAAGTGAATGGAGAGGATCTAAAGAGTCTATCATTGGGAGAAGGCAGGGAGGGCGTGATCCAGATTTAAAGATAATCTTGGCTTTGGGTGTTTTTCAGGAGAAGGAGTCCTGAAATCCCATTAAAAGGACACCGACAGAGTGGTCAGTGGGGCAAAAAAAGAAAAAAAGATATCAAACCTCTTCCCCAGATCCTCAAGAATAAAAAAGCTTAACAGGCGAAACACTGCTTCTACTTTCTCCTGTTCGGCGTGGAATTCAATTCTGCCCATGCAGCTAATGCACACTGACACAGTCCCCCCCCCCGAGCCTCAGTGCCAGACTCCTGCAGACGAGGGTGTTCATCAGCGCCACAGTGAAGCGGGCCACGCGGCACTGCAGGCTTGCTTCACTACAATGTATAAAGCCAGGGCCGTGCTGGGCTGAGAGACTGCAGATGTCAACATGCAGCATTCACCCAGCAGGCCTCCCAGAGACCGCCATGCAAATACCGCATAAAATACAGAAAGCACAGTAAATGAAATATGTATGACCCGCCCCTCCAGAAGCACTGTAATCAAGGCTTTTCAGCTGATCGAATGCACGCACACACTAATTTTCAAGTCAAGCATCCTGCTGAAAGCAGTTACGACGGCTTGCTGCACATGCATTGTGGGGGAAGGTGAACTGGCAGAGCTCTTCTTTTTTACCGTGAGGTCTGTTGTAGTTGGAGGGAGCCGGGCCGGGTCCTGAGCTGGGTCCTGCCCCCGGTCCGGAAGGCGGAGGTAGGCTTGGCATCTGCTGCTGCATCCCGGGCATGGGCCTCTTCCCTTGCACGGCCATCTGCAGGTGGTCCGGGAGGGGCTGCCCGCGCGCCAGCATCTTATAGGCCATGATCTGAGCGCGCAGCTGGTGCAGCTGGTTCTGGTTAAAGGGCGTCGGCCCGCCCCGGTTCTGCTGGCCCAGCACCTGGGGATCCCCTCCGTCTATGGGCACCCCACCAGGGCCTTGGGGCATGAGGGGCCCCGAGGGAGGGCCGTTGGCGGGGACGGGGCTGGGCGCATGCTCCGATCCACCCAGCGGGGAGGGGTAACCTGTGAAGAGGGCATCATCGAGGGTAAGAGCGGCGCCCCAGATTGGCCGAGCACATCTGAGAAGCCGTCCTGAACGAGGCAGTAACTCTCGAGAGATCGGCGGGCAGGTCCTCACAGGGACAATAGGACTTTGGGTCAGGAGACATCAGACAGAGAACGGACAAAACGACAGAAGACTTTGAGTTAAAGCAGATGGGCAAATTAATCATATGTTCAGCGTTTTCTGGCTCAACAGCGGGCCTATGGTGATGATTATGATGATGATGACAGTATTTAGTTGTCTAAGTTTAAAAGCACCGAAACATTTTTGGTTCTTTCCTCAGTCCTTCTTGAGTTTCACGCCAGCAGAGTACAGGACAGGAAACAGAAATGGAATAAGAGCCAATAGCAGGTCCACACCAGATCAGCGAGACACCCCTCAGGCACCAGTGGTTAGAGAACAAGATAGGATGAGATTGTGAAGAAAAAATATGAACTCAGCACCGAAAACACTAGGAAATCCCCAGCTGGGTCACTGCGACGGCGTGGCGTTCAGAGAGGGGAGCCCTGCATTTCTGTAAAATCACGTCTTTGTTATTCGCTCCTGAGGGCCCGCAGTGCAGATAAACCCAGTCTCCACAGCGAGCGGACCACTAAGAGCAGGGGCGACAGAAGTGAGCAGCTGCTGCTAGAGCTGCAGGACATGCGCCCCGATTAATTAAACCATACAAAAAAAAGTCACGATCCACCCAGATATACCCAAGCAGGACACAGCCTTCTATAATAATGCTCCCAAGTGGAAATAATAAAAAGCTTGTTTTGCCATCATTGGCAAGGAAAAAAAAAAGGGGATTTTTGCTTTGAAGTAGTAAATTCATTAGGCACTGATGGAAATAAATTCTCCAATCGCCCCCCCCCCGCAATTCCACACTCCCAAATTTCTCAGCAATAGACTTGCACTGGACCTTGGCCCCTACAGACTATAATACCACATCCAGATCAGGTAATGTATGAAAACAATCCCACAGCTAGCGAAAACAGCACCCATTTTAAAGAATTCTGTAGGTGATGCTAGGATGCTATTTTTTACCCTTTCCTTAGGGCACACGCGGAGGTGGGGAGGGGCTACACGGGGCCGATATGGAAGAGATCTAGGCTGCACGCGAGCAGGGGTATGGTCTGCCCACAGACGGCACGATGAGAGACGCGCTCTGCTGAAACAGCTCTGCACGGCGCGACAGACATGCAGAGCTCGCCGAGGAACAGCCCCTTTCCTCCTCCCTCCCTGCCCCCGGGGCTGGTGCTCGTCGTGCACCTGCTCGGCCTTGTGTTTCTCAAAACAGGAAGCACAGCCAGCCTGCTGTTTCCAGCAAACACAGCAGAGCCAGCAGAGGACAAGAAGCCACGAGCTGTAGATTAAATTAAAAGCCCCTGTAACAGGTTTTTACTATCCAAGTGAACATCTTTACATACAACAGCAGAATGCCAAGGCCTTTCCAATAGTAAAATTTGCTGTCTAACAGGGACACTTCTCATTCATCCTTTTTAACCGCTTGTTCCAATTCAGGGTCACAGGGGAGCTGGGGGCTACCTCAGAGCACAACAGGCACAAGGCAGGCTACACCCTGGATGGGACGCCAGTCCATCACGGGGCACACACGCTCACTCACACTCACACCAGGGGCAGATTTACCTGGAGATTAACCCAGCAACATGGCTTTGGACAGTGGGTGGAGACCCACACGAACCTGGGGAGAGCATATAAATGCAGGTAACGCCCCAGGTCTGGAGCTGAACCCAGAGACGCTTCTTACTTGAGAATACTAATGTGCACATCACTATTCTGTGGCTTGCAGTTTCCCCACTTTAGAAATGGCTTTTAGCTTCTTACAGCTGTACGACAGCTTCTCGGCTGCATGAATGACCTGCCCGCTGTGGCACGGCCAGCTTCCCATGGGGCATGTGAGCTCGGCAGCAGCGCTGGCGCTGATGGGAGGAGCTGGTTCTGTTGGCGCCGCTAGGAGAAAGCCCATCGCCCTGGCCCAGACCGGGATAGGATAGGGAGAAGGGGGCTTGTCTTTGCTAGGAGGCACGTTTGCAGGTGTGCACTGGGAACCCCCGCTCAGAAAACGATAATGAAGGACCTACCTTGTGAATGCTGGTCCATGGGGCTCGGGGGCGGTCCCATGCCGCTGTGCCCCCCCGGTCTCATGCCCATCCCCTTCATCTGCCCGTAACGGGGGTCGTCGGGCATGCCTTTCTCGTGCATGGGGTCCATGGGCTGCAGGATACCAAGGGCATAGATGAGGGAGAGATCTCACTTAAAGGAGTTCCAGTGTGGCCATGTCCCGATAATCAGAAAGGTGCTTATTCTTGGTCAGGGCTGCAGCACTGAGAGCACATGACGTCTAAACTTCCCCGGCTAATGGCAGGGCCAAGAATGAAGGGGCAGCTTCAAGAATCAAGGAACAGCAAACCAAACCCAGCCTAGAACAGCACTCCTTTCCTTGTTTGATTCCTTTCCTATCTGTCGCTCCCTCCCGAACAGCTAACACTCTTCCACTGGATGGAAAACAAGGTGGTTTCCCAGGGCAGACACTTCCCCTTTATTCCAGGTTCTTCCAGCTGGGGGATGTTGCAAAAACAGTGCAGAAATGCATGTTAATAACACCACATCACGCCTTCATTTTTCCCACCACTCATGTAATTGGGAGGTTGTGGGTTCAAATCCCAGGTGAGACGGTGCTGCCGTGCCATTGAGCAAGATACTACATCAGAATTACTCCAGTTAAATACCCGGACAGGCAAACAGTCAGAAAATTTATGCAAAATGCAAGTCTCTGAATCTCCTTCCCATAGGCCTGCTGTTTAAGGTCATGGGTCTCTCTTGAGTCCAACCTGAAATTCAGCACCAGGAATTATTTCAAAGCTGATTTCCAGGACAACCTGTCCAGAAGTTAATCGAAATGCCCAAGAGGCCATTAAATAGGCCTCCTCTGCTGGAAGCTGACAAACCTCGACCAAAAGCACAGACAACGGATCGCTGTACAATCACAGGCACAGTAAAGGCCAAGTCTGAAATAACAGGGCAAAAAAAGCAGACATGCTGTGAGACGCTCCTCTATAAAATCGAATACCTCTAAAAAAAACTCTCCTGATTCACGGAGAAAGGTTTACTATTGTCTAAGGGGTTTAATCATTTCTGTCATAACGTACATGGCGATCAACAATCCCCTTCTAGTTCAATGCCCTTTTCACATCATTGGCATGAAAAAAACAGGAATATAACCAAAAAAAACATAATGCTGTCTAAGGATAGACCATGCTTTTAAGCTATTTAACATATTGTGCTGCTCATCAGACTTTGTAAAGCAAACAGGTTTAAGCATTTGCCTCTTTGGAATTTTAGAGCTCTGACATAGTGATTTCTCTGAATCAGGATGTTCCAACTCTTATCCAGCAGATTTTCGACATCTCTTTAAAATACCACTACTGTAGAACTGGGAGGAACTAAGAAATCAATCTCACTGAGCCACAGATGTGATGATTTTAACAGTTAAGGACAAGATAGCCCTGCTGCAGATACACTGCCTGACCCTCCAGGACCGGCACTGGACAGCCCAGCTGCAGACACACTG